CCGAACCATTGTCCACTTATCTCCACAACTTCATGAGTTCCATTTGTATCCATTAGTAATAAAAACCTAAAACAAAAAATGGCAAATAAACTAGGTAAGGGTCAAGAATGCAAAAAGTAACAAAGGCACGCAAAATATTTTGCAAATAATTCTTTGCCAAAGTCTCTCACGTTAACACACCACATTTCCCAAACTCTTTAAACATTTAGCACAATTATCACATTTATTACCTAGAATATGAAGTATAAGCATGTTTCCTTCTCTAGGTAATTAGAACATCACCATATAATAACAATATTAGGAGTAAAATGCAAACTAAGGAACATACGTTACGCACATATTCAATTTTACCCCTAAAATGTCACCAAATTTGCTACATTATTCACATGTTCAAAATTCATCATTCAATCATACTCTATATGAAGAGTAAGCACTCAAATTGGCTAAAATGTCACCATATATGGAAAGTGTACATGTAAGCATTATAACAAGTCATATTTTAACTAATTGAACCATCCAAGTACACTTAATAACATTTGAAGACCAATCACCACATTGATCATAAAGTAAGAATGTGCATATAGTGAAACATTGCATAGATCATCACATTCCCACATTTGATCATCTAAACATGCTTAGAAAAGTTAAATAAGCATAATGGAACTTATATACACTAACAAATAACATCACAAATTCACCAAGCAGAGTGTATCATTAACTTACAAGATATTCACATGGTGAATTTAAAGTACCAAGTTAAGTTGAAGAAATTTACCTCAAATTGGTAGAGTGATGTTTGGTGATGCAAATGATGCAACAACCCCTATGAAAGTTGCCCCAATTGACCTCCAAGTGATGAAATAAGAAACTATGAACCCTAGCCTTAATTCGAGTTTTAGGTGTTTATCTTGAAATTCAATCAGTTAGAAAGGCTCTAGGATGATTAAAAGAGGTTGGGTTAATGTTTTGTAGCAAGAAAATGGAGTAACAAAGAAGATTTGAGAATTGGTGTGGAGAAGAGTTGGTATGCATTAGTTATGGATATAGTTGATTCACTATGAAAGTAGATTTAACATATATGAGGAAATTACGCCATAACTAGTCGAGGTAGTAGTATTTAATGACTGAAAAATTGCACTTGCATGGGTAGTTAGAGATACTATGACCTAATGATTTTTCATTTGCTATTTTCTTGCATAGTTTAGCTTATTTTATTTCCTTTAAATTTTTGACTATCTAAATAATAGGGGAGGTTTAGTATATCGGTAGTTGTCCATTCTTCTCTGTGGGTTCAGTCCTTAATATCTTATACTCAATCTCGACTTGTGTATTTGCAGAAAATCGCGTGTAAGGTATTTAGGAATTTGTAAATGTAAAACTTGACTGTAGAATGAGTTTAATTGTTACATGCATACACCACTCTTGTCAGGACACTTGTGTTTTGGTAAGTTTCTTCAAGTTTGTTAATTTTCCTTGTGTTGTTTATCATTGTTGTTATTTTGCTTAATTTAAGTTCTTGATTAGTTTAAATAATTAAGTAAGATAGAAGCCTTGGTAATTGGTAAGTGATTCTCATAGGATCTATCTTGATACCTCCATACTACAATTAATGGCCTGTATACTTGCCGTTAACGAGGTTTTAGGTATAAATTTGGAGTGTAGGTTTAAACATCGTCATTACTCCTACAATATTTAGTGCCTCTCTCATATTCACTCTAGACCTTGACCTCTTTTAGTCACTAGACCACTTTATGTCATACTAGTTTTGTTAAAAAAAAACTTTCTTACCTCTCTTTTAACCTTTAACTCCTTGATACTTTAGTTGTTTTGCCTATTTTTCATCACTTGCTGAAATTGCCAATAAATTACACAAATTTTATGTTAAAATGTTCCTCATGATAAGCAGAACATGAGACTAATGACAATTAACAATGAAGTTACCAATAGATCAGCAAAGTGGAAGCCAAAAACCTTGATTATATGTGCACTTTGCTCAGAAATAATCTCTCAACATATGAATTAGAACACATTTTTGCTGCATCATATTGACATCAATGAACATGATTAAATGCTACAATGCCATAATATCATGCCATTAACAAAGAAATTCAGAAAATTATAACCGAAGGCTAAATGAGTTTCAAACTCAAAGTAAATTTCAATATCTAATTCTAAAAAACTGTACATCAAATGATTTCTTATATAACACTAGGTGTCCAGTGGTGTTCTGATGTTGGTTCTGAATTCTTTCCATCAAACTTTCTATTTTCATAATATTTGTTTTTTATTTCAATTGAGCCAAAAATTATGTCCAGAACTAAAGAGTTAGAGGTGCTAAAGGTTAGGAGGTGAAGCATTGAAAACACTTTGTTAGTTGAATGCTAGATTTGGCATTTTGCTAAAAAATTGAATATCATCAGCATTGGCAGTTTGCCTTGGGGTTTAAATTACCAAAAACAAATATTAGAGGCAAAAGTTAATTTAAAATTATATTAAAGTTAGTAGAAAATTAATTTTACACTACCGAACTTTTTTTAATTCTTGCCAATCCTTCATGCCTCACTCCCCCAAATACCGACCTAGGAATATTTGAACTCTGGATTTGGTAGCTTGGAGGACTCTTATTTAAGATCCTTCCCTAACCACTATGTAATACCAATGATTTATAATTGGGTGTTCCATTTTTGTAACTATAGGATGAAGGATATTTTGGGCGTAAACGTAACTAAGACAACATTTTACTAGTTGACAAGTATTTGTTTAACATAATTTAGTAGGTCTTTATGTGTTTATTTTAGTATGTTTTAAGAAGTTTTACATGTGTTTTAACTAGGGTTTTGCATGAATTTGTGAAATTAGGGTTTGCGGGGTGATGTTGCAAATTTCATGATTCATTTGTGGTCTACTCTTGCTTTGTAGCTACTTGAGATATGTGTATCATTTATAGGGAAATTTGAAGATGAATGGATGAAGTTAATGATGAATTGATGATGAGTTCCAATGATCATGAAGTTCAAAAGAGTTGGATAAAGCAAGTACAAAGCAAAAATGAAATGACGAGCTAAAGGTGCAAAGTTACTGCAAGAGGGCCGACTACATTTTCTTCATGACTAGCTAAAGGACTGGTTATAATGATAATCAAACCAATGCCAATTGAACATTTGAACATTGCCAGCTGAGAAATGAACACTACTGGTTATAAGGTCAACTACCATGTCGGTCGAATCTTTTGCTGAGTATTTCAAGGTTTACTATTCACTCAATTTCCTTGCTTTTGGCCATTCCAAAGTTTCATTATAAATATGCAAAGATAGGAACCCTTGAGGGACATAATTGAGAAGAGAAAAGAGAGGCAAAAAAAAACCCTAAAGAGCTTTTCTTGCTCCTAACCCTAGCAACCTATCTCAAGAAGAAAACCCTAATCAACTTTGTTCAAGATTTGAAGAAGAGAAAAGCTAGCAACTCTTTTTGAGTTCGATTGAAACTCTAAAACAGTGGATCAAGACCAATAATTTTGCCTAGCAATTCTAGTGAAGTTGCTCCTATTCTTTTTCCTTTTTGACTTGGTGATGAAAGAGTTCGGTTCTATCTATACTCTTATGTGTTCAAACAAAATGTAAGGCTAAACCCTTTGTTTTTGAGGCTATATATGAATTTGTTATGTGAACTGCTAAATTGAGTCTAGTTCATATGTTGTGTTTATTGCTTGATAGCTCTTGAAACTGCTTTCATACTTGTGTCTGATTGATCAACAAGACAAGTTATCTTGGCTATTGTTAGTGATGGATGTAGCTAATAATATGCAGATCCGGATTTTTAAAATCTAAATATCTAATTCACGTGTTGTAGGAGAAGTATTTAGGCAGATAATTTGATAATTTCTTAGATCTTCAAGAACTTGTTCTAGCCCTTCAACTATGTTTACAGGCGGGATTAGACACGAGTAAGTTGTTCATTTGTGGTAACAATGTTCAACATAATTGAAAATTAATCCCTAACAAGTAATAAAAGTATAATATGTTCAACAAGATCAATTCATGTTCATCTAAACAAGGGATTACAAAAACCCTAAGAACTTTGTTTTCTCTAATTTCTTGCTCAATTAATTAGATTTTTGTTAAGTTCAAACAATTTGTTATATGAGTGATTTATTATTTTTCTATTGAAGAATTTTTTATTATTTAGATAATAGAGTGAGTAAGTAATCGTGGTAATTATAATTGCTCCCTGTGGTTCAACCCTAATCTATTCTATGTTTTAATTTGACCTATATACTTGCCATCAAATGGAGTAATTGGGCTAAAATAATAGGACAATTGGGAATTTTAACTTGAAAACCTATCTCACGTCAAATTTTTTATGCTGTTTACGAGGACTGATTTAATATTAGGGCAAAAATTAGATTTATTAATCTAAATTTCTTTAATTTTAGTACAATTTATTGTTTTCAGTGCCAAATTTTAAATTTTTGTTGATTCTCTTATTTTTGGTATTTTGTAGTGCATGCACTGGAAGCTTCGAGTTGTAGTTCCATTTGATCCTGAGATTGAAAGAGCTGCAAGAAAAGCTAGGAAACTTGCACTACAACAAGCTAATCCAATGGAGGACAGCGAAGGAGAGACTTTGGTTGAGTAATCTAAATTTGAAGAAGTGGCAAAAAAGAGAGCAAATCGAATTTAACAAGTCTTGAAAGACTTTGCATTGCTAGATGTTTCTGGAGCTCAAACTAGCATTGCAAGAGTAGTATTGAATGTCATTAACTTTGAAATCAAGTCTTCCATGATTCAAATGATTCAACAAGAGCAATTTAGTGAAAATATGTGACACTATTAAATTTAATGGTGTAACTGATGATGCTATTAATCTAAAATTATTTCCTTTCTCTTTGCGAGCTAAGGCTAAGGCATGGTTAAACTCACATGCTTCTAATAATTTTGCTACTTGCACTAATTTGTCACGAGCATCTTTTAACAAGTATTTCCCATCTGGTAAAACTGCAAAATTACGCATAGATGTAACTAGTTTTCATCAACAGGAAGGTGAATTCTTATATGAAACTTGAGAGAGGTTTAAGGAGTTACAAAGAGAACGTCAACATCACAGAATTTTTGATTGGCTGTATAGTCCTAACTTTATCATTGACTTAGTGCACTGCCACCATCCCGATAGGATGTTTAGCTACTAGGTAAATCTCTTACACTGGAAAAAAGCAGGAAAACAAAAAAGAAAAAGGAGAAAGAAAAGAAGCTTGTATACTGTCTCAAGACATCAAAAACAAATGACACAAAACAGTACAGAACTAAAACTTAACTCGTAGAGCAAAAAGGAGATGGACACGGGGGCACCATAACTTCCACAATTCCGTCAAGCATCTGGCTCACCTTCCTCATTTTAGGCCTAAGCGATGGGTTTTCTTGGATACACCATATAGCAACCATCAGAAATCTCTTTAGCATCATTTTATCCTCTAAAGCCTCTAAATCATTGTCAACAAACTTATCCAATCTTCCTTCTTGAAAGCAATCCCAAGCCCAATCAGTCAAAATTGGATTTTCTCCTTCACCAATGTTCTCAATGTCCTCCACACATTTTCGGCAAGAAATGATCTCTAGTAACAAGACACCAAAACTATAAACATCGACCTTTGCATTGATTTGGTTGTTCCTGAACCATTCAGGCGCAACATACCCTTTTGTTCCACGGATACTAGTCATTGTTTGACTCTGACTAATCATCAAAAGTTTTGCCAATCCAAAGTCGGAAATCCGAGCATTGAAATACTCATCCAGAAGTACATTTTGAGGCTTTATATCACAATGGATGATCTGAGTTCTGCATTCTTCATGAAGGTATACGAGTCCTCTTGCAATCCCGATAGCAATTTGGGTTCTTAGGTTCCAGCTCGGTTTTGGATCATGTAACAGCAATCTTGCAAGAGTACCATGGCTCATATACTCATACACCAATAGACGATGTTGTCCTTCATCACAGAATCCAAGCAGACGGACTAAATTCTTGTGGTTAGTCTGACCAATTGTTTTCACTTCAGCTCGAAATTCCTTCTCAGCATCTTTAGCCACTCTGTCTAACTTCTTGACAGCAATAATACTGCCTTTGGAACTGATTTGTAACTCGCCTTTGTACACAATGCCAAATGATCCCCTACCCAACTCTTCCTTGAATCCATCGGTAGCTTCTGCAAGTTCTTTGTACGGAAAAATGTGCAAATTTATATCCTTAGCATCAGTGTTCAAATGAAATATTACCTTCTTTTTCTGGTATATGAGGTAAACACCCAAACAAGCTGCGGTAATGAATGTCAAGTTTACTAAGAAAGAGCTGCCAAGAAGGACAGATCCCACAAGTATCAAGGTGCCTCGGTCCTTTGACTTTGATTCTACCGGATAACCTTGAGGAACAATCGGATATGCTGGAGGAGCATCACTTTTGTGGTATTTGATGAAAGCTTTTGACTGAAGTCTATAGTCCACCCTCCCATTAATAAGTGGCAATTTCAACATCCAGCAACTGTTGACTCTAAAAATGGCAACTGCACATAAACAGTTCTGCAAGCAAGATAGCTTACAGATGGTTTCACTTGACGGACTTATTTGATAAAAGTCATTCATTGGCCAATCAGTGTCATTCATTACCTCAAAATCGTAAAGGTTTTCTACAGAGTCCCCCTCTACTCCACCACAGCTAACAAGAGAGTTTGCTTTGCAGTCACCATACATGTTGTTTGGATCACGCAGCACATAACCTTTTGGACACTTGCAAACTGGTCTTCCATTTTCGAGCATGCAGACGTTGTTATATCCACAAGCTATGACCCCCTTATACTTGATGGTGAGACATATATTATCTGGTACAGACCAAAGAATCGTCCAATTTGAATTGCTAGTTGAATTTCTTGGATGATAGTAATGCGTGAAGAGCCCGTCGAAATCTAACGTTGCCCTGTGATAATAATTTTCAGATCCTAGTCTTGAAGGACTCAGCTGTTCTGTTTGATTGTTCACTTTCCTTATATACATGGTGCCTCCACTATCGAAGATAACCTTGTAACCATCATTTGACCAATTTGCGGTATTTGGGTAATACACACCATCGTCACTGATTAGCACATTTCGGCTGGTAGTAAGCACTACAGCCCCTTGAAAATGGAGATAAAATCTTCCTTGAGAGAAGTTTGTTGCTGACTGTCGAGAAGACAGAGTACCATTGATTTCCAATTCTTGATTTGGCAGTATCGTATCAGCAGGATGTTTGAAGCTTTCCCATAGCCAGCTTTCATCACTCCCTTTGAGGATAAAATTGCCTGTGTCGTTCATGAAACCATGATCAACTTGATTAGGATTGACATCAGCACTCCAAAGTTGTAAGCCTTGAGGGTCACGGAACACGAGACCCGTTTGAGCATCAAGCGCCACAGTCGATCCACGAGGAACCGTGTTGGTTGGATTAGCATACCAAACTACAGTTTTGTCTGGTATGTTGTTATACCATATGGAAAACAAGTACAGATCCTTGTCCGGAATTTTCTGGAAACCAAATGCAAAATCGCCGGAAGGTGAAAGCCACGAATTGGATGTTTCACCGGCAGTCAAGCTCCTGCCCAAAGGCACAATACCATTATTTTGAGCCAAAGCAGAAATGAAGAAGAGAAATATGAAGAATATGAGTTGTATGCATAGGTTTGCCATTGCATGAGATAGTTTAGTCCTCGTCATTAAACCATATGTAGAGTAAATCATGATGTCCTTTGCTTTGAAGGTTCTTTAATTAATTAGTCAGCTCTGAAGGCTTTGGACTTCGGAGTCATTTTCCACATCCAACTATACAGCTGGAATACGGTGACTACCATTTTGAAATTGTCATGATGAGCTAGTGAATTAACACATTTTGAAATTGTCAATCAACAACATAAATCCAACGAAATACCAGCCTTTCAAATATGAAGTCAATCAATCGATACTAGCATGGTTTCTTTCGCACCCAGAAAATTTAGGAAACTTTTACACGCTAAGACATAGTCAACAAATGAAAGCTCTTGGTTTCTCCTCGACATTTCTACAATCAGAATAATATTCAGCACCATAAAATGCATATTAAAGAACAAAAAAGTACTATTATAGTTGCATCCAAGGAAATTAGTAACATGCAAGAAAAAGTTGCTCGTGTACTTGAGTAGTTAAAACTATATTATATATAATTAAAACAATGCCAGCATCAATTTTTTTTTAAGAAAGTTCTGTTAGAATATCTGTATAGCCCAATCTATAATATTCCACTGTATGGACCAATTACTACGTATAATATTATACTATATTCATTGATACATTCCCTCACTAACTTAACAAGGTAAATAAGATATATTTTCTCACTAACTTAATAGAATAAATAATGATGTGAACTGATATGTATTGTTAGTTACAGAGTCCTAAGACAATTGAAAGAAGTAACTCATGTTCCTCGGATATAGACACTTTATCACGTCAATGCTCTGGCCTATCTTATCACTGGACTTGACACATTGAGTTTGTTTTTGACTCTACGCTCATGATAAGAAAAGTTAGCATTCGGGGTAGGGACGGTCATCAGGTTGACCGTCCCTGAGCAAGTGAGAGGACTGCAACAAGCCACGTATAATGGAGGCAGCAACAAAGGAAACGATGCTGTTTTAGTAAGTGAGTAGAGAAAAAAATAAAAAAAAAAACATTTGAGGGGCTAACGGACTCCGTTAAAATACCTCAGCTGTCCGTTCCAAAAATTTCCCGATCAAATTAATGAGGCACGACTCTTCATCTGAAATCTTCAATTGAAATAAAATTTTGGTCTCCCTCCAAAAACATATCTTGTAAACATTCATTCACAGAGTATCAACAAAATAATATCCCTACCCCAAATTGAAAAGTTTCAAATGAGAGATTTTTGGAGAAAGTGTTGCAGAAATATAGTATCATCAATCAGTATACTGAGGGAACACAAGAAGTAATTCTTACGGGACAAAAATTTTTCATAAAGGCTGCAAAAAGACAGAAGTTGGTGAGATCTGAAGCGGAAATAGATTCAATCGAATTGGACTAAACCCCAAAGGTAAGACTATTGCAAACTCATTGCACTATTTGGCTTGTTTTGCGATAGAAGGGGGATGAATTTACTTGCATGATTTTGTTCATACAACTTGTTTAAGACAGTGTAACATGAGTAATGAAATTGGAACTCTGGTGAAAACTCCTAAGCAAGGAAATCATATGGGTAGCACAAATTAGATACATTGAGAGCCAACTTAAAGAACGTATGCACAGGGAACTTATGCATGCCAAATGTTTGTAAATTTGACTCAATAGACGAATTAAATGACTTAGGATGTTTATAGATATATAAAATAACAGGGAGAGTGTGAAGGTAATTGTTCCTTGCTTTTTTTTTTTATTCTTGCTGCAGGATAGCAGTGACACCATATAGTTTAAACTGTATTACCGACTATATATGGGCGCTTACATCACAGTAGATTGATACATACAAAGATAAAAGATAAGCAAAGTGAATTATTGTAAATTCCACGAATGAAATATAGAGTACAACACTGCAATGTCTGACTCACAATGCGTACATTTATGACTATAAACCGTAACTGTCATCTAACAACATGTATATTATCGGAAACCTATTGTGCACAACTGTGACACTATGTGACCATTACTCACATATATGATTTTGTCATAGGTTTTCGCATCCGAAAAGTCTACCTAAACAAGGATTAGGATGGCTTGACAACATAAAGAAGGTACACTTATTGAAAGATATTCCATAACATGATTATAATGATATTTACCTACTCGTAATTGCTTTTAAAGTATGGTGTAACTTGTTGCAAGATATAAATTTTACTACTTGTAATTGCTTTTAAAGTATGTCATAACTTTGAATAACTTGTAAGATTTTGTCTAGATAAGGTATGTGATGTACACCGTATTTATTGGAATGTATAGCATGTTAGTCATTAATAACATTTATATCAGATGTTTTTACTAGATGGTTATTTGTTACAATCGTCTATGGAATTGACCATTAGTTCTTATGAGAGTGCATTAAATTAGA